ATGAAAATATACCGTATATTCTGGAAGTTCACAAATACTGTATTTTGAAGTTTGAAATAAGTAGTTATTCATTTATCTAAGTCATCTGGAGGGCGCCCTTGAGTAATATTATTTTATCAAACAAAACAAGATACCGATAGCCGTTGCGTTTGTAATATTTTTGCAAAAGCAGAGGCCAAGGCAAAAGGGGGAGGCTATTTATGTATTTACCTTTTCTAATTTTCCATTGTTCAGATGTGGAAATCGCGATATAATTATCAAGTTTAGAATATTAACATATTTTTGGTAGTGTCAGCTACTGGATTGTTTGATATACTGGTAGTTGTATTGTTATTTTCTTAATGGAATAATGCTGTATTGATAGATAGATAGATAGATAGATAGATACGGTACCGGTAATGGCTTCCAACTTGGACTTCCAACTTTAATCAAACTACGGTGCGGTACTGGTATTGTATGCGTATACCGCACGGTACCTAATACTATACCAGTGTAATAAGTCTTTTATTCTCATTCATTTAATACAGTAATAGGTAACATACGATCTCAGTAGGATTTCATGCGGTCAACTAACTGACTACATGACTAATGCTGTAATGAGATCTGGAGATGGTAAACACATAAATGGGATTAATGCAGTGTAATGACTTGAATTGTAGCTGAAAATGTTTTAGTACGAGACACTGTGTAACAGGATCTAACTCAACTTTATAACCTGATAACCCTAACTCCGCAGAATGGATTACCAAGATTATCGGCAACATAGTCGGTCTCCCACCAGACGGTCTCCAACAAGGAATTCTGGTGCATATAATATGGATAGAAATGCGATAATATCCAAATGTTCTTGGTAGTGAAGTTGCTCGTAAAGATGAATTGATTCACAGAATGAAATTAGAACAAATGTCTCTGGAAGACAAATTAAAAAACCTTGATGACAAATACACAACAAATGAATTCCAAAAGGGCTGTCATACAATAGGTATAATATTGTATTATTGTTATGCTCTAATGACTATTCATGCGTGCCCTATTTTCTTTAAGTATGTTGTGGCGCATGAATATCTTGTTTACAATGTGTCTTCGTTTCGCTGTTCTAGGAGTAACACGTAAATTTGATGCTGTGCTGTGTTAGAAGTAAATGTGAATACTTGAATATATGAGCTGATTGTTGGTGTGGATGGTTGGGAAGTAAGGTGCCTCAATAATAATAATTATAGTTGCCATCAACAAGGAGAACTATAACATGGTGTCAGACGTGGGATTATAATTTACTTCCGTGAAAACCAACGCTGGATTAAAACTTCGTACCGGTAAGCTTATTTTGCCTTAACAAAGCATAATGGCGGATAAATTTAAAACACCGGAGATGGACTGGACGAGTGCAGGCAATATGCATAAGCGGTTTAAGTTATTCAAACAGAAGTGCGACCTTATCTTCGACGGGCCACTTGCTGATAAACCGGAAGCCTACAAGGTGAGAATGTTATTACTCTGGATCAATGATAAAGGTCTTGAAATTTACAATACATCTGTTTGGACAGAGGAGGGCGATAACATGAAGTTGGCAAGAGTATTGGAAAAGCTTGAAGCTTATACTAAACCGCAAAGTAACCAGATACTAGCTCGTTTTCAATTGCGAAGTTTGAAACAAGGTGACACATCTCTAGAAGAGTTTGTCACAAAAGCGCGATCTCTCATTGATGAAAGTGGTTATGCTGCAACCGCAGTAGATGAAACACTACGAGATACATTGGTTTTTGGTTTAAAATCTGACAAAGTGCGTAAAGATGCAATTGCTTTGGGTAATATGTTGACATTCAAACAAATTTATGATCTTGCAAAAACAGAGGAAAGTACCAAAGCACAAATGGAGATTATTACAACAAATAACACAACCAATGATTTACATGCAATGAAGAGACAACCAGCATATAGAAAATCCAACAACAAGTCAGTGTTTCAAAGACAAAGACACAGTAAGCCAAGCATGAAGGATGAAAATAAGTCCAGTGCAGATAGATGTCAAAAATGCGGTGGAAGACACTACAGATATGATGATTGCCCTGCAGCAGGAGTACGATGTAATCACTGTGGGCGAATCGGGCACTTCAAAAGAGTTTGCCGCATAATGCAAAGAGAAAGACATAAGCTACACGAAGTAGTGGATAAATTTGATAGCCATTACATTGATGATGGTGGATCAAGCGAAGGCGAAACAGGGAATATTGGGTGCATAAGCTCAAATAAGTTGCATAGACAACACAGTATAGTGAATGGTATGATTTCACGAAGCGGATCAGTCCCTGTCAAAGAGAAAATATTTGTCCAAGTGAAGTTGAATGACAAATTCAATGTAAAACTAAAAAATTGATACAGGAGCAGATATATGTACAATCACGAGAGATGATTTACGACGCTTGGATATAAAGCTCCATGTAAAAGACAATAGCTGCATACTACATAAGTATGGCGGTGGAAGAATAAAAACATTTGGACAAGCAAAGATAAAAGTTACTTTCAATGGAAAATCAATGTGGATTAATTTCATTATAGTTGAAGGTAATGGAAGCCCATCAGTTCTTGGATGCAAGCAGTCGCAAGAATTGGGTGTAATAACAGTAAATATCCATGATATTGAGAGCGGAAAGCAGAAAAAGTGAATCCGTGTAATACAGAAAATTCTTGTCAAGAAGCTGCTGAGAAAGGAATTCTCTCGAAAAGTCAATTGCTTGATGAATATAAGGATTGTTTGACAAGATTGGTCGTTTTCCGCATGATAGATACCACATTCAGTTAAAGATAATGCACAACCAGTTGTACATCCACCTCGAACAGTGCTGTACACATTTTACCTTTGTACAAAAAGGAGTTGGAAAATATGATTGCAAATGATGTGGTAGAACCAGTTACACAGCCTACTGACTGGGTAAACTCAATTGTGTGCAACTTCACAAAGACAAGTGATGGAAACAAAAGGTACGCCTATGCTTAGACCCAAAGGACCTAAATAAAAATATAAAGAGGGAACATTATTACAGTCGAACAATCGATGAAATCTTGCCAAAATTGCATGCGAAGAAATATTTCTCTGTTGTCGATACAAAAAAGGGATTTTGGCATGTAGAGCTAGACGACGAGTCAAGTCTACTATGCACATTCAATACACCTTTTGGAAGACATAGATTTAAGCGACTCGCATTTGGCACATGTGTTTCCCAGGATATATTCCAGAAGAAGCTGGATGATATATTTCAAAATATCCCCAATGTGACTGGTAATAGCCGACGATATAATCGTGTATGGTGAAACACCAGAAGAACATGACAAATCATTCATAAAAAATGTTGAATGAATGCAGAAAAAATAATATTGGACTGAATAGTGAGAAATTGCAGTTCAAGCAGAGAAAAGTTGAATTCTATGGACATTCCTTGTCAGATAAAGGAATACAACCATCTGAGGATAAATTGAGAGTGATAAAGAATATAAAATCACCGGAAAATGCAAAGGAGTTGCTCACCATCCTCGGAATGATAACATATCTCAACAGATTTTCAACGAAAATTGCAGAATTATCAGCACCGCTGAGAAGATTGACAAAGAAAAGTGTACAATTTGTTTGGGAGTCTGAACATCAACATGGTTTAGATAGAATAAAGCTGAACTTTGTACAGTGAGAATTTATCATATTATGACCTAACCCAAACACAACTACAATTTTGCAATGTGATGCAAGTTTAAAAGGTCTTGGGGCCTGGATTAGACAAATTGATTGCAATGGTGAAGAAAATATAGTTGCAATGGGATCAAGAGCACTCACAGATGCTGAAAGCAGATATTCTAACATAGAAAGAGAATGTTTAGCAGTTGCTTATGGTCTGGAGAAATTTGAATATTATCTATATGGACGACATGTAATTGTTGAAACAGATCACTCTCCACTAGAACAAATATTCAAGAAAAATATTGTTGACGCTCCAGCAAGACTGCAACGGTTATTGCTAAAATGTTTAAAATTTGATGTCACAGTCAAGTACAAGCAAGGAATAAAAATACCTGTCGCTGATGCTTTGTCAAGAGTGATTGAAAATGAAAAAGAGAAGAATAGCGAACAATATAAAATACACTTCATGGCAAGTGAAGCACCACCAATAAATTTGGAAGTTATAAAACAAGCGACAGATGAAGACATAGTATGTAACAAGTTGAAAGAAATTATTTACAAGGGTTGGCCTGATCAAAGAAAACAATGTCCACAAGAGTTATGGGACTATTGGAACTTTCGATGTGATTTAGTTCTTGAAAATGGCCTCATTGTCAAAGAAAATCGAATAGTTGTACCTAGCAAACTAAGGTCACAAGTTTTGAATGCTCTTCACAGTGGACATCAAGGTGAAACTAAATGTTTATTGCTGGCAAGACAATCAGTGTTTTGGCCTGGAATTACAAAAAATGTAACTGACATGGTAAATGAGTTGTGAGTTATGTAACAAATATCATTCTGCTCAAGCAAAAATGCCAATGATGAAACCTGATTTACCTTCAAGGCCATGGAAAAACTTGGAACAGATATTTTTGAGTTCCAAGGCAAGAAGTATTTAATGATTGTGGATTACTTTTTCAAGATTTCCAGTTGTGAGAAAACTGCAAGATATGACAGCTGAATCAGTATGTGAACAATTTTCAAATGTACTTGCAGAATATGGTTTATGTTCCACAATACTAGCAGATTTTGGATCTCAATATGTGAGTCAATTGTTCAGAGGAAAATGTGATGCTAATGGAATTACAATGACCTTCAGTTCACCTTATCATCACCAAGCAAATAGTCTCGCAGAAAGAGCTATTGGCACTTGTAAATCATTATGGAAAAAAGCCAAAGAAGAGGGGAAATCTCTGAATCAAGCTTATGGATTTATCGAGTCACACCACTTGATTATCAAACACCATCACCATTTGAATTGTTATTTGGTAGAAGACCAAGAACATTTATGCCTATGAATGAACGGTCTTTACAATCGAAAAGTACAGAGCTTGAAAAGCAGCAAGAGACTAATGAAAATAAACAGGTGAAACAAAAAGAATTTTATGATCGAAAAGCTTCCATTGACAGAAGACCACTGTCGAAAAATGAAGATGTATATGTGTGGAATGATCTAAGAAGAATATGGGAGCCAGGAAAAATTGAAAATATACCAAATCCTGTTAGAGAGCCAAGAACCTACACAGTTCTATTGAATTCGAAATTATATAGGAGAACTCGTGAACACCTAAAACCAAGAATTGCTGCAAATAAGTCAAAGTATAATGAAAAGAAATTTGAATTGAAACCATTTTATTATACACAAGCTCCAGTGATTGATAATAATCTAAAGAACAGTACAACTCCTGAAGAAGTACAAAATCAGGAAAAAGAAATAAAAGCAGAAGAGACACATAAAGAACCTCAACCTACAATGGATAGAAATACTGGATTTATACCAAAAGCTCAGACAACCAAGTCAGGAAGAACTACACAAGTTCCAGCCAAGTTTAGGGATTAGAGTGTACCCCTTTTATGTGCATATAATGGTTCTTTTTTATTTATCGAAAAAAGGGGGATGTCATACAATAGGTATAATATTGTATTATTGTTATGCTCTAATGACTTTTCATGCCTGCCCTATTTTCTTTAAGTATGTTGTGGCGCATGAATATCTTGTTTACAATGTGTCTTCGTTTCGCTGTTCTAGGAGTAACACGTAAATTTGATGCTGTGCTGTGTTAGAAGTAAATGTGAATACTTGAATATATGAGCTGATTGTTGGTGTGGATGGTTGGGAAGTAAGGTGCCTCAATAATAATAATTATAGTTGCCATCAACAAGGAGAACTATAACAAGGGCGACAGGGGGGCGATTGGGAATTCTCTCGAAAAGTCAAATATGGGGAAAATTGCCAAATATGTTCTTCAGAATGACGCGGGTATTTAGGCCGTGAACATCGGTATTATATCGGTAGACCATATTTTCGAGAATTCTTTCCATCTCACAAGTATCCCCGTGGATATGTGCCAGCGATGACGATAAAAAGTTTTTTTTCGTCCGAAACTGTGCGCAGAGTGTGAAAAACTCTTTATAATACAATCATCTGAGACGAAGAAGAAACCATAAATTTTGTTTTAGGAGTGCCGCGACAGATTGAGAACTCTATTTTAGACGGGAATAAATTGCAAAATTCCGGAATTTTTTCCGGAAACTTTACCGTAGTCACCTGGAGTTGATTCATTCCATTACCCATTATCCATTATTAAATGTGGTGATGACATAAAACTAATCAATGTAAAATGTGAAATTTTATCTTTGGCCTTTAGATTTTGTTAACGGCGATATCTTGAAAATAATCCTGAGCGGCTCAAATTTAACAAATTACCACAATTGCAAAAATGAGAATCAATTCTAATTATAATCGGATAGTATACCATATATTTTTATGCACCCAGATTGCATTATTCCAGCGCAAAAATACTTATATTTTATTGTATGTAGGCGCAATGACATTAAACAACATGATAGGCAACTCTGACGTCACTCCATAAGACTACAGGCAAAACATTGTATTTCATGATACGCTCCAATGCACATATTTCTCGTCGCCTTTCGCGTCCGTTTTCCGCTCGCTTTTGCTACTCGGCGTCTTTTTTACGTGTAGTACCTGCCTTTTTGCGCCTGTAACGAAACAAAATAATCTCTATATCTAAGAAGTTTTGCTTACTTGGAAAGCTGGAATAACAGGCAAGCTGTAAAGAGCAATTCTGGACATCATAGACGTTTTTTTTTATCAGAGAAGATTACAAACGCGATAGCGGAAAGATTTGTGTGGAACATTTTGCAGATAATGACAAAGTTCAAAGTTAGTAATTTTAATGTTTGCGCTTAATCATTGAAATTTCATTTAAAGAGGGTGTCATACAAAACTGTGCTGCGATACAATTCCATAACACAAAGTTTGCACCTATCGAACTTGCTTTTGTAGGTGAATTTATTAGACATATTACATATTCAGTTAATCGTAGGTAACATTGCTGGTACATAATGCATCGTAGATAGGTTTGTTTAAATTTAGGAATTTAGCTCATAGCCCACTAATTAATATTATCTTCTATGCAGGAGGTTGCAGGGCTGAATTCAACTTGCAGCCTTACCGATCACCTGACGATGCTCATTTAGTTTGGCTCGAGCAAGTCTTCTTGAAATGCTTGTGTGAATGGAAACTACCTATATTTTTTGCCTTCCTCCGATTTTAGACAAATTTATTCTGAGGGATTTCGCATATAATTCTCACTGATTGTTGGCTGTTTATAATTCCTATTGATTGTGAATTCTGATTATAACAATGAGTTGAAAATTTTTTTACCTAATTTACTGGCACCTTTTTCTTGTCAATACTCCAAGCTGAGGTAATAAACATGACAATACATTTATGTCATCTGGAAGCAAAATATGCACACAGATTATTAGTTTGGCACATTGAGATAATACATCATGACAGAAAATACAAGTTAAAGATATGTATGACCATCACATGGTAATTAAAATTAAAAAAAATTAATAGGGGCTGTGGAGTATGGAAAGTTCAAGACAAAGAAAAGAACAAATGTTCATAGAACATAGCTCATATATTGTGATGCAACTAAACAGTTGGATTAAGTTTTATTATTTTCTTCAATTTCAAATGCAATTACATATTAATATTTGCATTCCACTATTATTGCAACATTTGCAAGTTACAGTATTTATTATGAAAAATCGTAAAATTCTATGTACAACCATCAAAATCATTTTTGAACAAGCTTTGAATAAGGAAAGAATAATACATACACTAAAAATAACTTAATCTAAATATATGAACCTAAAATTAACAAAAATACTACAGTATAAACTCAATGTTTTAATAATTACATTCGTCCTGGCGTTTGGCATCTTTTTTGTGTCACCAGCATACTAAGGCCAGTCTGAAATGATTTTATAGTACCAACTCTAACTAACGAGGCCACATGATCATGGGTTTATCTGGATCTTTACGAATGTTTAATTAATTCCAGTAATGCAAAAAAGTTACTTTTATCATTTCATGTATAGATCAGTAAAAAAACAAATGACAGATTTTTTCGACAAGACATTTCGCACTACCTTGCGTGGCATAGGATTGCTTGAATTATTATTGATATTGATTTTTAGTAACCAAGTCGTTGTATAATTATATTAATATACAAACACATGGAAATTTTCTGTTTGAAACTGTTCTGTTTGAAGGTTTGCCACCTTCTTCGTGTACTTTGCGTTTAATTTAATTACTCAAGTGTTTTATTCAAGTATTCTTTTGCTAGCTTGATGTGTATTCTTAATTGGGTCAAAATGTGGACAAAAAAAATTAATATTCCAAAACTACTTTCAGTAAATTGTTTTCTGTGTGAATAATCAATTTCACTTTAGAAGGTTTGAAAAATCTATTACATTTAGATAAAAAAAAAACTTCCAAAATACTATTACAATTATTGTTAAGCGTTCGAGGGCCGCACTGGAAGTTCTCTGGGGCCGCGAGTTTGAGATCCCTGGTCTAGATTGAAGTTGTTCAAAAAATATATGATAGTATTTTATCATGAATGATGATTATACCCCTTCCGGAATTTCTTCTATAGTACTACCAAAAGTTGATGAACCAAATATAACACAGGTGCAGTGAGGTACCCGTAATCTTCATTTCCAAAGCTGTTTTAAGTATGTCTGGCGTGTTTTGTGCCTTTTTACAAATAAGACCGCTTATGCAATCTTACGCTTTGGAATTTTTAGTTATTTTCCTCAAGCCCTGCAGGATGTGGGGGCCATACACAACTCTACCGGAGGGTCAAATGTCTTTGCATGCCTCCATAGGTTGTTTTTCTATTGCAATTTTCTATTTTCAATTGCATTATATTTCTTGGAATCACACTGTCACTGATATGTCGCCAGACTTCTGATATCTCCCCGTCTGCTATAGTTGTCCTGTGAATAAATAATAGGAAATTGAGATTAGACGAATAGTTGAAAGTTTTGCTTTATGTCGGCTTAATTTCTTGATTGATATACTTACTATTTCTGCTATTGCCTCTTGTGCTGCAAGAGTCTCACAATGCTTAGACAGGTTTGTCCACAACTTTCACATCTGAAGAAAGAGAGGAGATTTATTAATTATCGTTAAGAATAAATAAAGCAGTCTATATGATTCAGAATGGAAAAGCTAATAAATCCAATATCTCATGTTTTATTTAAAAAATATTTTACTGAATTTTGGACAATAAACCAACTAATAAAAGGGTTTAGTCAGAAAATTACAAGCATTCGTGGCTCCAAATACTTGAGAAATCAGACTATACAATATAGACCGGTATGAGTGAAATGTTAGGTGAACTTGTTAACACTTTGATTCAATACGCAAATAAAAGTGAATGCGTAATAGTATGTTACAATGAGCAGCAATCAACAATGAGTATATATCCTCACTGATTGAAAAAATCTAACTGGAGGTGCATGAACTATTTGAAACCATAAGGAGTAAGTAAATATGTAATTTCGGCAAATGGGCAACTACGTACCGTACTGAATTAATAACTTCGTAGTATTTGACAAAGGCTGGCTTTCCCACATGTACTTAACAGTGCGATGCCCGGGTGTGATATACAACAATAGTATTCACCTTACCTTTTACCGATTTCTTCTTACCCCAACTTTCAAAAATATCATTAAAATCGACAACAACTGTCAAAGCAGGCACGAACACCATTCGTGCCACGCCTTGAAAGCAGCACACATCCGCTCGTTTTCGTCTCGTCAAGTATGTGCATTGGAGCGTGCTATCGAATACGATCTTCGGACAAAAATGCCGGAGTTGCGCATCATGTTGTTATATGTCATTGGTAGGCGCAACGACGAGTTACTTTGAAAATAATTGAATTAATATGGCAAAGCCTTGTTGTCGTATCAGCGCCATAGTTTGGCGCCACATGAAAATCATCATCATCAAAAAAAAAGACAATTTTAACGAATGGCATAATCGCTAGCAAGGACCGAGGACATAATAAAAAAATAAAATTTAATGAAAATATAGTTCAGTGCAAGTTATCTGACATTATTGGCGAAGTATAACTGTTGATTCTTTCGTTTCTATCATATAATTTAGTAGAAACGGGGACATCAAATCAAAGAATGGTGATGATTTGAGATTGTACCTGACAAAAATGTCTTCAAATATTTAAAAACCTTGTGGAAATTCATCCATCTTATCAACAACATCATGAAAATGAATGTGAAAATTTGAACAAGAAAAACTTGGCCATTCTGGATTTCGAACCATATTTCATAGAGTGAGACGGGATTTATTTGGTGAATGGGAATTGACGAATCGTTGATTCAACTTCTAGAAGTTATAGCTCTTCCCTTTCCTTTGATTACCAAATAGTATTATTGTTTCGGAATATGTGTATTTCATTCTTTTTCTTAAATTTATATTCGGGAACTATACCACTATAATCTAGTTTTTTAGTTGAAAATAACTCCATTATCCACACCGTTTTCATCAAAATTAAATTGCTAAATAAATTTATCTGCGTACTTACAATACGCTACTGAATATAGAGTACTGTATAGACTTATTAAACTTATAACTTACCGTAGGACCTAAAACCCGGTAACTTCGGATGTCTTGCGATGTCGGATGAAATTTTCAATCGTTTATATCTCGACTAAATTGCGCCATATCGTGCTTCTGGCAGTTTCTTATATATCTGAATTTGTTATCATTTTCAATCGTTTCTTCAGCTTATTTTTTGATTAAAAAATAATCATGCATGTAACGTATGTTGTTTCCTGCAACAGTTGTTTTTAGGCAGACCATATTTGAGCAGAGCAGTTTTAAGCATAGCCATTCCAATGGCCATGGATAAAGTATCTCATATTTTATCACTCATATTTTATGTCACAACAATGAAAATATACCGTATATTCTGGAAGTTCACAAATACTGTATTTTGAAGTTTGAAATAATTATTTATTCATTTATCTAAGTCCTCTGGAGGGCGCCCTTGAGTAATATTATTTTATCAAAAAACAAAACAAGTTACCGATAGCCGTTGCGTTTGTAATATTTTTGCAAAAAGCAGAGGCCAAGGCGAAAGGGGAGGCTATTTATGTATTTACTTTTTCTAATTTTCCATTGTTCAGATGTGGAAATCGCGATATAATTATCAAGTTTAGAATATTAACATTTTTTTGGTAATGTCAGCTACTGGATTGTTTGATATACTGGTAGTTGTATTGTTATTTTCCTAATGCAATAATGTTGTATTGCTGTATTGATAGATAGATTGATAGATAGATACGGTAATGGCTTCCAACTTTAATCAAACTACGGTGCGGTACTGGTATTGTATGCGTATACCGCACGGTACCTAATACTATACCAAGGTAATGAGTTTTTTATTCTCATTCATTTAATACAGTAATAGGTAACATACCGTACGATCTCAGTAGGATTTCATGCGGTCAACTAACTGACTACATGACTAATGAGATCCGGAGATGGTAAACACATAAATGGGATTAATGCAGTTTAATGACTTGAATTGTAGCTGAAAATGTTTTAGTACCAGACACTGTGTAACAGGATCTAACTCAACTTTATAACCTGATAACCCTAACTCCGCAGAATGGATTACCAAGATTATCGGCAACATAGTCGGTCTCCCACCAGACGGTCTCCAACAAGGAATTCTGGTGCATATAACATGGATAGAAATGCGATAATATCCAAATTAAGAGCAGAGCTGACACATTGCAGAAAATCACTTCAGGATGCAATGGATAATGTCACAATGAAGGATTCAAAAATAGACCAATTGAAAGTCACCGTGGCTTCCTTCGAAAAAGACCTCACTATGCGTAATGAGGAAAAGGCAGAAGCTGAACGAACCATTGTAATGCTGCAACAAAAGCAGCAAAAAGACTCTGAAAATCACTCTGTCACCGAAGAGGAGATAAGAGAACTTCGTAAAGATAATTCACGATTAAATCTTCGAAATAAAAAACTTGACGATGAGGTATCGACACTTCAAGCAATTATCAATGATAGTAGATACACAAACCAAGAACATAGTGCAGCTTTGAAAAATGAATTATCACGCAAAGATGAAGCTCTCGCGACTTTGCGTCGCGATTGTGAATCTTTACAAAAAGAAAATGAAGATTTTCATTCACGAATCAAAGAATGCGAATCTGAGAATGATAAGATCTGCCTTGAGCGTGAGGCGCTGAAAAAGGAATTAGCTGACCAGAAATCTCATCTGAATTTTCTGGAAAAAGAAGTAAAAGAATCCAGAGTGAGTTTAATTCAAGCGAAGACTAATAATGATGTTATCAAAAAGGAGTTGCAACTTGCGAACAATACAAAAAAGAATGAACTGTTAGACTTGCAATCGAATTTTGAAAATGTAAATCAAGAAATAAAAATGCTTTCTGCTAAACTTGAGAAAGCTCAGCATGAAGCACGAGAATATCAAGAAAAATTCAAATCGACGAATGAACTGCTAGATTCAACTCAAAAACAAATGTCTGATCTCAATGAAGCACTTAGTAAAAGAGAAAATACTATTCTTGAACTTGAAGGCAATCTACTTCAAGCTCAAGAAGAGGTTCGCAAGTCTTCAGATGAGACATTCAGGCGTGATAAAGCTGTTCAGCTTTTAGAAATGAACTTGGAAAAAAGCAAAAACATGTATAAAGACCAAATGGAAGAAAATGGAAAATTACAGGCTCGATTACAAGCATTTCAAATTACTACTGAAAGTGAAAAAGATGTTCTTGGTAGTGAAGTTGCTCGTAAAGATGAATTGATTCACAGAATGAAATTAGAACAAATGTCTCTGGAAGACAAATTAAAAAACCTTGATGACAAATACACAACAAATGAAAAATTGAAATCACAGCTGCAAAATCAACATTCTGTAGCATTGGGAGAAATTCATGCTCGTGATGACACTATACGTGATTTACAATCTCAGCTGAAAAATATTCAGAAACTTCATGTTGAAGCAGAAGGGGAAGGAGTATCTTTGAAAGATGCAATCAAGCAACAAGAAATTGAAATGAAGCATTTGAAAGATTCCTCTGATTCTGCTAATAAAACAATTGAACTTAAAAATGAAATTATACAAGAACAGAGAAAAGATATTGGAAACTTACAGTCTCAACAAAAAGAGCTTGTCAGAAGACTTTCAAATAGAGATGAAATGCTGCACAAAGTAACTGTGGAAGCAACTAAACTCAAAGATAAATACAGAGCTATGGTAACCACCTCAGACCAAAATTCTGATACTATTCGGATTTTGGAAGATGAACTTGCTAAAGCTAGAGTGGATTTCAATGAAACACAAAGATTTGGTGATGATGAGGTTTTGAAACGCGAACAATTAATATCAGAGCTTGAAAGAGATTTGCAAACTCAACAACAAAGATACCAAGCTTGTTATCAAGAACTACTTAAACAAGAAGAAACTGTGGCCAGACTACGTGAAGACGCAGCGAAGCGATCTGAGAAAATTCTAACTGATAGCAAAGAATTAACAAGCCTAAGGGAGTTCAAACATAAAATGGAGTTAGATTCTGTTGTCCTTGCAGAAAAACATAAAACAGCCCAGGAAGAAGTATCCAGTAAAGATCAACAAATTTTAAAATTTAAAAATGAAATTAATACTCTAAGAAAAAGGCATGATGGAATGCAAGAAGAAGTCCAAGCATTCGAAAATGAAATTGAAAAATTGAACACAAATGTACGGCAACTTACATCCGAAAATAGGGAGTTGAAAAATTCAAATGATCAGAAATATGCACAAGCAAAACAAGATAAAAGTGATATTTTGGATTTGAAGAAAAAATTTTCCAATTGTGAACAAGAACTTAGAGTTCAGACAAAATCATGCGAGCACTTGAGACAAGAACTCGAAACAACTAAACGAGATCTTCTCGCTGATGCCAAAACTTCACATGACGAAGCTGAAAAGGTGAATCAAGAATTACACAATTTACAAATTGCATTGAAGGATACTGAATATGAAGCTGATACTAGTAAACAGCAGGTTGAACGTTTACAAAGTGAACTGGATGATGCAAGAAGGGATCACCAAAATGCTCTGGAGGAAATTGTAAAGTACGAGGATGCAGTAAGAGAAAAAGAAGATGAAGCTTGTGGTATGAGAAGGCAGATTGCAAGCGCTGAAGATGAAGCGGCAAATCTTAAAACGGCTCTTGAAAATGTAACACAGCAGTTGAACGCTATAAGAATTAAATATGAAGAAACCATAGGTAAACTGAGTGACACAGAGAAAGACTTGCAAGGCATTGAATGGAGACTTGAAATAGCATCATCTGAGGTTGGTCAGAAGGATGATCTCATTAAAAGATTAAAAGCTGACTTGACCAATGTGCAAGAAGAAAACAATGAAAAAAGACAGCAAGTTTCAACATGTGAAGACGTGATTGAACAGCTCACCATAGAATTACAAAAAACGCAAGATGAATTGCATGCAATCAAACAAGAGTTAGATCTTCATGATGACACATCAGCTAATTTAAAAAGACGATTAGCAAATAAGCAGGATGAATTGCTACGAGCTGAAGAAGAAATTCACAAGGTTAGAATTGAGATGGAAGATTATCAATCTACCCATTTTCATCACAATGAAAGTGTTGCTGAAAAACATGAGAGAATGAACTGCATGGAAAGAGAAATTGTTGAGCTTCAAGGAGAGATTGCTGAAAAGCAACAGCAAATAGATGATCATAACAAAGCATCTCATGAACTGAAGGCTCAAGTTGCAGCAATGAATGAACAGAAAAGTAATTCTGCGGATGAGATCAAAAGACTTGAGAAAAGTCTCGATGAAATTCAGAATCAAATTGAAAAAGATGAACAAAAATGGAAAGATGAAAAAGAAGATGAGAGTGCGAAAGTTTCTGCTGTAACAAGACAACTTAATCAAGAAAAAATGGCTAATGAGCGTTACAGGCAAGAAATATCTCAGAGAGATTGTCTCATTGATAAAATGAAAAATGAATCTGCATCATGCCGTGATAACCTCGGAAGAAAAAACAATGAAATTGAAGGATTAGAGGAAAACTGCAATCAATTACGAGTACAACTTGATAGAGCCACCAGAGATAAAGAAGATCTTGAATCTCGTAGACAGGAAGAAGCTAAGGAAACGGACGGCTTGGTACGTAGTTTAGAAGAAACTAGATCAAGATATAGAGATTGTGCACAAGAACTGGCTCACCATGAAGAGAAAGTCATTCTGATGGAGCAAAGTCTGTCATCAACTCAGGAAGATCTAGCTGACAAAGTAACACAATTGGCACAGGCTGAGAATCTCATAAAGAGACTCAAAACAGAACTGAAACAGAAACGTGAGAACTGTAAAGCTGCTACTGAAGCTAGTGAAGAAAAGGATAGAACTATTAACAAACTGAAATTGGATCTTGATGAAGCTAAACAAGTGCAAACTAGCATCACAGAAGAAAACTTAAGACAACATGAGGCGGCAAGAAGACTTGAAGAAGATGCGGTTGATGCAAAAGCCAGACTAAGGAATCTCCAACATCAAGTGAAGGAGAAAGATTCAGCTTTCAGAACTCTACAGCAATCACTAGAAAATGAGAAGAAGCATAAGCAAGAATTGTCAGATGAAATTCTGAAATTAAAAAGTCAAATGTCTGATCTTCGTTCTTCGTCTGATGGGATTGAACGCCAGAAATGTGATACCCAGCAACAATTACGTGACTCACAGAACCATGTCCTTCGATTGCAAGATTCCTTGAGTGACGCAGAACAAAAGCTCAAATTGGCAAAGGAGTCATTACAAGAAAAGGACTTTGTCATAAATGAGCAAACTTGTGAAATGGAAGCCATGAAAATGCAAAATAAACTTCATGCAAAAGAGGTTGAACGATATGAAGAAAATATGACCTTATTGCAAAAGGATCTTGAGGCCTCCCAAGAACAATATAAGGATTGTCATAGACAGTTTTTAGAAGTTACTCAGAAATTACATGATCTTAATATGCAGGTATCAACTGCTGAAGGAACACAGAAGGAATCATTGGATCAGTTAGGTCAAAGTTGTAAGAAGAATGCATCTTTGAAAGCTGAGCTACAAAAAGTTTGGCTCGATAATCAATCTTTGGCTCAAGAAGTAGCAGTATATGAAGAAAAACTGCAAAAGCTTCGAGCAGAGCTTAAAAAGGTTAACAGTCTTCACAAACAATTAGAAAAAGAGGCATCAAAATATGAAGAGCTATTGAAAGATATCAATGAAGAGTTTTCCATAACACAAGAAAAACACAGACAAGCTGTTTCGGAATTGGCTAAAAAGGAAGAGCAACTTGTTGTGGTTAAAGTTGAGTTTTCTACTTTACAAGATAAGTTTCATAAATATGCACAAGAAAATGCTTCTCTGAAATCCCATTTAGATCTTCTACAAGAGAAACACGCTGTCGCTAGTCATGAAGTTGAAGGTCTTGGCAAATCTCTCGAAGAAGCAAGAGAAAACAACTCAAAACTTAGAAGCGAAAGTGAGACTGTTGTTGAAAATGTCAATTCTTGGGTACGGGAACAAAAGCAGACAAATGAGCGCCTTGCTGCTCGTTTGCACGACCAAACAAAGGACCTAGCTCGTGTTAGTAGTGAGAGAGATCATTTGCAACAGCTTTCAAGACAACTTGAAGATGAAGTTACTCGACTCAAGTCCACTGTTTCAACTCTCAGTACAGATGCTGATAAAAGCAAAGCTTTGCAAAGGCATTCCGGAGAACAGCAAGCATTCATAAAACAACTTCGTGATAGATTAGCAGAATGTGAAAAGGACCAAGAAAACATTATAGCAGAAAAGAATAGTTCTTTGGATGATTTACATCGACGATTAAAACAAAACGTTGATTCAATACAGCAATTAAATCAGCAACTCAACAATCTGAACAAAGAAAATGTACGGCAAAGAAATATTGTTGAACAAGAAGTTGCAGCCAGACGAACATTAGAATCCCAAATCGAAAGAAAAGAACAAACTATTTTCCAACTTCAGGCTCAATTAGAGGCTCGAAATTTGCCTAGTACTTCCCCTGGTAATGATCGTATGTTTGATAGAGGGATGTATGGCAGCTTTCTTCAAAGATAACACATACAAGTATATGTTTTAATACAGTAATGACATGACTTTTTATGTTCATCACTATTACAGACTTCTTCAAAAATTGTATAAAAATCCATTTTGGCAACATAATGCTGTATTTTCTTATCTTTTTATTAACAATGCATTTTGTACACAGTAATCAAGCCTTTTAATTTGTAAAAAAAACATTGACATTTTTTGGATAAATTTTTTTCATAAATTCAACCTGTTTTCCACTTCTGTTTTTATCATTTTGATAAAATATTTGTGAATTTAACATCTATGATTTCCAAATCCAAACTAAATGTATATGAGCAGATATTCAAATCCTGGATGTATTATAAAACTGTACATATCTGATATGTGTTGTATAAAAGTATATGCATATTTTAAAATATTTGTATAACTTTATTCCAGATTTAGTTTTGAACTTTTATTAAAAAATTGTTGATAGCTCATCTTCATGAAACCAAATATGTAAAACTTCAATACGTTATTTGCAGATTTATGATTAAATTATTGTTATTGAATCAATTGTATTATATTATTGTTATCTTTCACTATTGTAAATAGCAATATGAATTTGTTAATAATTGTTAAATAAATTGGCCAACACATTGAAAGCACATTTGTGAAAATCATGACGAATCTTCCTATGACATTTATTTTTGTTCTTAAATTTTTGTAATCAGTGATATTTATGCTTCATTTCTATTCATATTTAGCACAATATTATGATAAAAAGTGTATATTTTATATATTTGCTGCTATTCATATATTAGATATAGAAATATTATTTTTGAATCCACGGTACTACACTACTATACTATCACTGTATTATGCAATTTTTGCATTTCAGAGTTTTCATTTATGGTGTCTTTCTGGTTATAGAATTCTAATAGACAAATTTGTATATTTCGTTCATTCATTGTTTTTTTTATTCTGGGGTACCCGTAAATATCTCATGGATATTATTACACATCTTCCTCTCTTTGTAATAAAAACTTTTTTATATTTCCAAATATGATATGTATTTAAGAATTTAATGTTGTGTAGGTATGAATAAAACACTATATTTGAAACTTTACAACAGGGATGTTGAACCAATGACTTGCGGCTCGCAAAGTGACTCATCATGTTTTTTCGGTGACCCATCATAAATTGAATTATTGCATACTTTCAGTGATAAATACATTTGCAGGAAGGCAGCCTTAGTTCAATCTACCAGTAATTGTATTAAATAATGGAACGGAAAATTTCCCCTTTGTTGATGTTGCGTGAATCCACGACCCACATTTTTACTTAAAAATCATTGAAAAGGTTCATCATCCCTGCTATGTAATAATGTATGTTTCAAGCATCTGATCCCTTAAAAAATCCTCATACTTAAAAAATTTTCTGCAATTTGGATTGTGAAAATTACTTCCCCGCTTGTCTCAAGATATTGAAGTAGTAGCAATTTACAACTGAGCCATTCTACTAATTTGAATTAGAGAACAACGTAGTTTCAATTTCAAAAAAATGATAATTGATTTGAGTTTGCTCGAATATTGTAACTAGGGTATATTCCACGGCACATAGGTTAAAATCCCATTTTTTTCTCGGTTTGTCCAAATTAGTTTGAATGCAATTTGTAAGTGGCTGTAACTATTTTTTATTCTTACTTTTTGGTTTTTGTTCGATTTAATTTAACGCTGTAGTAAATTTTTGTACATTAACCCAACTTACCGTAATGAATGACCAAAAAGTTTGTTCAATTTTACTTATTTTTTACTCAGTGGTTAATTTCTTCAATTGATTTATACTATAATACTCTTGCACTGTAGCTGATTGATAGATATTTCGTGTCTTCTATGTTGTGTGTTGTCATTATGAAATGTATTTTTCTTTAGATTTAGTTTAGTAAAATGTTTTTAACTGTACTGCTCTGACATATTTTCAACACCAAAGTAGGAAATGTCTGAGGATCTTCTGAAAGAACCTCTTCCTGAACCATGGACATTCGGAGTTACCAATGACGGAAGAGTGTTCTTTATTAAGTATGTCATTGAAATGACAAATTTTTTTGATTATTTTCTGCAAATGAAGTTTGGACCAATTTACTTTGAAAAAGTGGTAATTGCACTGTTGTGTCATCTTGCATCAAATACTGTAATGCATAATGACAGTGTTTTTCAACCTTTTTCGAGCCAAGGCTCACTTTTTTTCATTGAGAAAATCCTGCGGCGCACGACCAGCTGAAAATGTGGGGAAAAGACCTAATATTCACAATATAAGTGTTATATTGTTACTATAAGCTTTTTTAACATTGAAGAAAGATGTTGAATTGGACATCTTGAATAATAATCAAATAAAAACAAAGACAAATCGCCACCTGCTGCTGCCACCTTCTGATATAGAATAGTACTACATGATTACTCTGCGGGGCGCTACACCGCATAGACACACAAATTGGAGAATTTCCAATGGCACCCCTGACATTATTTTACAGCACACCGGTGTGCCGTGGCACCCCGGTTGAAAAACACTGATATATGGTACTCTATCGACTGCTGAAAATTATAATGGGTTTATTTTATATTCAATTTTACTTGCAGTGATGAAGAAAAGAGGACAACATGGTTACATCCTGATACGGGGAAACCAGTTCGAAGTGGGCTGAGGTCAAGACCAGGTATGAAAGAACATGATCAGTGTTTTCAAATACAATTTCTAGTTTTATAATTACTGATTTAATATTTATCATGTCAGCATCTTACTATGACTAAGGCAATAATACTTAATTTAAGATTGTAAAAAAGTTGCTTTCAAATTTCTTTTTCAGATTTGCCTAAAGGATGGGAAGAAGGCTTCACAGAAACTGGAGGTTCCTATTATGTCAAGTATGAGTGTTTTATGATTAATGTTTAAAATCGATATTTACCAAATCATTGTATTGGATTTAAAAGCTTGCATTTTTTTATAGTATTTGTATACCGTTTCTGGTAATTTAGAAGATTTTTATGAAGCAGCATTTTTGTGTGGGCTCAAAATCATTCTTGAGTTGTATTTTATGATCGTTATTTAGTGATGAATATGTTGGTTATTCCTGAGAATGAAATAGTCAGAAATTGATATACTGATATGTATTATGTTTATGGTACAATCTATATCATTCTGACTACTTCGTTATCGTTTCAGTGAAATCAAGAATAGTTTGGATAGCACAGTAATAAAGCTGAAGCACATGTTTTTATTCTCGATCAAATTATAGTCAAGTATCGATGCTCTTTATCCAGATCATTGACTTTTGTCGCGTTGCTATGCTATTGTTATCTTGTCTTTTGTGTCAACTTACCACAAAAAGGTATTGTACCAGGCCTTAAAATCAATCAAAACCCCTTAGTGAAACATGAATGGAATCATTCGCAAAGACTCCCAAGAATGCTTATGAATTCTGAAGTCTAACTATCTGAAATACAGTGTTTGTTTATAAAGTACGGTATATATAACTGTATTGATGTTTTCTGTTTCCTGCATTGTACTGACTACTGAGCTTGGTTTAGTCATATTACGTGAATAACATTATTAACACGATTATGAGAAAGAGTGTCTTCTGCAACAGATCCTTATCAACTTCTGTAGCTCAATAGTTTTATGGTCCAGAATTTCCATTTCAGTCACTTCGTATTTCAACCTTATTTTGCCTTTCTGATTGAATTAATTAGGTTGTAAAATATGAATAATCAAATTAGTAACTTAAACTGGATATAAATCTTTTAGGCATTGTGATTCAAAGAGGCCAAGTCTCCCTATCTGTAATTTGTTTTGTACTAATATATTAGTACAAATATTCCCATATTCTCTTAGTTTATGATACTTTAGTCAAACGTGTTCGCTGGTTTCAACGACACATATTGAGTAAACATATTCTATCTATATGAATGACCCGTTTTCATTGCTATAATGTCAACAACGTGCTCATCCTTGCGTTACATTGGTACCAAGGTGCCTTGCTGATCGTATTTACCAATGGTATTCCATGGCTCGACTTTGGGCGCGTTTAGAAAAACTTGGAAAACCCTTATCACAACACCAAGGATTATACCCTGTCCAGTATAATTCCAATCATTTTGAGGAAAACCAATTGGCAGAAAGTTGCTGACCTGTTCTCACCGCTCTCCAATTAAATATTAAATATCAAGTTCATGTAATAAATTATAGTCTCGAATAGTCAGAATCAAAATTAAGCGATAACCATATCTAGTAATTTAAAGTAAGGGAGATAGATCGTTTTGAATGTTAATGTGAATATAATATAATGATTGTTTTATTGCAAATTGCCCGAGAATTGGTAAAAGAATTGGACCCGTGCGGTAGGGCTTACATGCCGTAGAACAATTGACCAGGTGTTTTAAACTAGTATATGCAGCCCGTTCATCATTGTTTGTCAGATACTCAACTGAACTATTTCAACTAACTGGACTAACGGAGATGTAGAATACTCAGTCTCATTCAAAGGATGCTGTTCAAGTGCGCATGTATATTATATTTGATATGCTCTGCGGTGGCATTGAATTTGATTTAAATCACGCGATGGCAATGTTGCCTTGTCTGATTGTCTCACGTCAAAGTTCTGTCGTAAATATCAGCGGTATTGCCTAAATCTCCATATTGTATAGTTTATGCCCATTCATACATTTAGCGTTTCGTTCGTAATATAACTTGATTTGAACTTAATTATTGGAGCGATGTTTGCTGAACCAAGTCTATTGTATGCCCAATGATTTAACGCCTGCGATCCGATAAAAAAGTCTTGTCATTGAGTTGTCAACCTCAAAAAAGTAAAAATTATGTTCATGGATAGTGTTTTGTAAGGATAACGTTCGACGTTCGTTCTTGGGATGCCTAAATAATTCAGTTGAAGGGATATTCGAGGGCGGGAAATCGGATAATAGAAATTACTGATTTTTGTAAAACTTTTCATTTTTAACAATTATGACTAATTTCGCATATTAAAATATGACTCTCTCAAGATTTTGCTATTACTAAATACATCATATTCCATATTAGCTAACAATTCAGATATGAACATACCGTACTTACTTGTGATCTTTAATTGTGAAAATTTAAGTTTCGCCTATCGCCCTATTAAATCTGTTTTCGCCTTATCTCTTTCGGTTGTTATAATGTCGTATAATCTAATGAGAAACGCCAACTTTAATTTTGTACTGATTCGACCTCATATTACCAAAAATTTTGTCAAAAATGATTTTATTCAGTTAACTATGATTTTATGTACCATACGAAAGTTTCTGAATTGTGGTAAAATCGATTACAAAAAATTTAGGAATCATTCCTAGGTTAATTTATATCTTTTGAAATGGTAATTAATATCCACATTCGCTATATTTTACAAAACTGATCCTGCCTTCACTACAATACTGCTAACTGCTATTTTAAATAAATACACTGATTTTGTAATTAATCGAATACATATGATAAGAAATACAATATCCGCTGAAGTTTCCTGAAAACGTTTCCTTTTCCCCCGAGGGAGCGAGCCCACGACTTTATGCACCACATTTACCTATGCTAGCTATTACTAAATTTGTTTATTGTCTCCGGGATATTTTTTATGTTGAAAGATACGAGAGATTAAAATACACATGATTATATGTGATTTCAACACCAATGTTTAACGGGTTATTGCCATTATTTACGGTCTTTACGTAATCCTAAGTTGTCCTGTTTTAATTTCACGTTTTAGCTTTTTGCGTTTCGGCCCGATATGACTTTTCATCTAAGAGATCGTAATACGAAAATATCAAATAAATGCCACTGCTTTACTATTATTTTTCGATCTTCATTCTTTCCTGAAAAGTCCATTAATTTACTGATATTTTCCAGTAAATTCAACGATTACAAGCGTATCTAGTAGCCACAACTATAAAGCATCCTGAATAAGTGTCGGTAATAAACTAACATGTTCTAAGCTAAACAATATTTTCGGAGATCAAGTATTTTTGTGAGCATGATCATTTGCAGTGTTCAACTGATGATAATCACACCATCACGTATAAAAATATACCCACGAAGACGATTTCGTGAATTGTTATTGTGAGATTTAGAAGGATAAAGTCGCGCCTATAGGAAAAAATTCCCTCTGGCGAAGAACTAGACTATAACAACGATTTTTCGATCGTTCCCACACAAACAGTGACTTATATGCTGTTGAGCTGTCATGGAATGTGAAGCGTTTATTTATCTGATGTGAGAGGTCAGCGAGTAGATTAAAATGAGAATAACGAGGGGCGATTTCATCGCATTCTGCTATTTTATGTTTACTCGTGTTTTAATTTTTTGATTATTAAAAACCTGTATGTCAGCTAATGCTGTTGCGGCGACATTACGTTTTTGGTTCATTCACACTTATAGACGCATCATCACAGGTGCGTACGTTGCATTTCATGTGAAAGTGATCAGAAGATTACGTTGTGAAATAAAAACTTGTAGTTAGATAGGTAGATATGCAAACGTGAAAGTCCCAGTTGGGTAACTTCACAATTTTGTAAGTCACGATTGTATTCTGAGGTGTAAACTATAGTTTAAATTCTTAAAATTCATCCTAGCAAATTCACTTGGATTTTAATGTGATTTGCAATCGGCGCGAGGTACTGAAAGCTGCAACCAAGCGCGATTGGAGAATGAAAAATAATTTCTCAATTATTCAAATCATCTTCCATCGACTGAGTCCCCCATATGGCGTTTGCTTGCCAGATAACAATTTCTGTATATGCGTAAGAAAGTAGATTTCTGTGTTAAATATTTGCTATTGTATTTTTATTGTGATAGTGTCTTCTGCGACCTGCGTTCTTAAGAACGGCAGAAACATTTGCTTCGTTAGTATCACTCGTTTCAAATTATATCACGTTCATAACCGAGCACAAAATGAACGTAAGCGTGAAAGCGTCATACATCATAAACCTATTCTGTATATTTGCTCATGGACTGTTTTATAATCCGACGACAATCTCTTAACTATCAACTTTATTCAGCCTTGGGGCAGAGTTATGGCAACGGACATGTTAATCAGCTATGAATACCTTGAATTGAAGAAAGCAACCAATATTACGGTAACCTAAAAACTAAACATAAGCCAGATGCGAATATGATTATTTCATAATCGTGTTCGGCAGCACGTTAGGTATTGGGCGTATGGGCATAGTATTGGTCGTATATCGGTATTTAATCTAGTCTAATTGTCCAGCGCTATCTCAGAAAATGTTCAATTCTAAAAGTAGTGGTTTAGTAGAATAGTTTAAACATCAATATATTGCTATTATAGCCATTTAATTAAGTCATTCTGTACGATTTTATTCGAGAACAGTTCATCATACGCTTATGGTCGTATGTCGTCGCTTTTTTACAATTCGTTTTACTGGTTATTAAAACTCACTTCCCGTTAGCTTTAGAAGTGTCCGTTAAATCAGCAGGTTTTGTGTCAGGTGGATGATACTTTGACCAAATGTCCATGTTGATCTCGATATCAAAGTTGCTATTTAAGGGTCGTTGTTGATAAGCCAACTCCTAATATCATACATTGAACACCTGTGTCCATTGTTAGTTTTATTTGGAACGTGGTGATGACCATTTGAGGGATATTAATGCCGATTGTAACATATTTCCGCCCTTTTTTGTTAACCCCTTTTGTGTCGTGGACATTTCATTTTCACTCTTTTATGACTGTTAAATGAGAAAATGGGATCAAGGCAACCTAGCCTAGCGTCCCTCGCAGCTAGTCGATGTGTTATTGACTAAGTTGGATTTAGGGGGTCAAAGACACATCATCATACATTGCTTTGGATACAATTGCTTATTTTAGTCGCTTTTAGTTGACCAC